TTCCTCTGTTTCCTTCTTCGGTTCACACAAGAATTTCTTCGTCCCTGCCTGTAGTCCCTCGACACCGAAACCCCAATTTTTTCTGATCCTCAGCGCGACCGAAATCGAATCTCTACTCTGTTCAAACAAAAAAAATCGAATCCCTCTGACTTAGCCTGCGCGATCCCCCACTTCCTGTGTCTAAATCCTCCATCTCTGCCTCTCTGCCTCATCCAGCATGCTTCTTCCTCTTCGTTCGCCTTTAGTCGCAACCAGACGCAAGGGATTCTTCTTCCTCTTCGTTCGCCTTTTGTCACAACCAGCCGCAAAGGATTCTTCTTCCTCTTTGTTCGTCTGTTTTCTTCAGTTTGAAAGCCGCGTTCCTTCGTCAGCCCGATCACATCCTTGTCGATTCTCTATGCAGCACAGGAAAACTGCCTGATTCAAACAGTGGAAGCCCTCGCCGTTCCTATCTGTCTTGCCTCCCAACCCGTCTTTGTACTTTCGTATTCCCGCGAATCAAACATCGAAAGCCTTCGTGCGATCCAAACCCACCTCCTCCGTTCACAAAATCGATCATCAGAAGGCCTTGACGAACACCTTTTTGACTTGTATTACGGTTCATTTTATTTCACGACTGTGGAAACATTAAATAGCATTACTCAATAAATATTGGTTTGAGATCTAAACAATTTTTGCCCTTATATATTGAAAGGCTGGTTGAGTTTTTTTAAATTGTGGATTAAATTTATATTTTTATTCCACAGGTGCAATGTCTCACAATATTGACCAGCTCTTCTTTTAAGACAGTTGGGAACGCTGACATTCTTCCTTGCACCCAAATGGGGTTAACACAAGGAAGTTGTCGAAATTTTGGATTAATTTGAACTTGTAAATATTTTTTTTTTGAACTTATTAAAAAAAAATAAAATGTGAATCATTTGAAATTTTAAAATAATTTGAAAATTTGACCTCTTAAAATATAGGCTCTTAGTATTTTAGAAGTATCTAAAGTCTTGAGCTTTTTGAGATTTAAGCTCTTTAGGCTTTAAAATATTTTAAAATTTGGGCTTTTTAAATCTAGGCTTATAGGGTTTACAATTAATCCAAAATTTTAGAATTTTAAAATCTAAACTCTTAGATTTGAATCATTTGAATTGGCCTAAATATTCAATATGTGTACTTTCAAAAATAGCTTGACACATTTGGAGCTTAGCCTAATTTAAAATTGAAGTACCAAAATTCACAAGTCTAAGCTTAAATTGAAATTCAAATACCCCGAAATGAGGAACTAAGTTTGGTTTGAAAAATAAATCATCGCCGAATTAACAGTACATCAGTTGACGAACAGAATACGGTCCCTATTAACGCCCATAATGAAAGAATTAGTCCACAAATCATAACATCAGCTTCAAGTAATCTAAGTTCTAAATGATTTACAAAATTGTGCAAACATAAACTTCAAGGCTTTCTTAAAGTCAAATGCAAGGTTTTGGAATTTGTACAAATATTTTTAAGGTATATAAAAAATAAGTTGAACACTCTCATCTACAAATATTTTGAGATATTATGGGTCAATTATGTGCAATCTCAAAACCTTGTATTATACAATTTCAAAATTAGCCCGCATGTGTTCAAATGAATGTATTGATTGCTCAAATATTATGTTCGAGAATACTACACGGTCAAAACGGGTCATATTATCTATATGATAGAGTTGTAGGTCTCACTTAACTAGTTTGATCCTCCTCTTTCTAAGGACTAGAGTTAACGAGTCTAGCAATTTTGAAAAAAAATTTCAATACTTAAAATAAAAATTTAGGAATCCAAATCACCTAGTTTGATCCTTCTGCTTATAATTATTACAGCCGACAAAACTCAAACTTTAAAAAACTTAAACTAACAAAACTAAATATCCCCCTTATTAAAAATAAAAGCTTTAAATTGTTCAATATCCCAATGATGACCGTGTTGATAAATATTTCAAATTAGATGGGTCAATCTTTTAAATCAAGATTTTCAAAATAATAATGAAATCCAAGCTAAAACTCAATCATTTAGAAGCTAAGAGTAAAATTTATCCCGCTCCACAATAATTTATTGAAGGTGACAAACTTTTGATTGAATTTTGCTCCTAAATAGTGAATGTCATAGCAAATACACTTATATTTTCAAAATTAAAGCAATTACATGTTAGTAAGGACGTCGCCCCAGTCCTCTGTCGGCGTGGTTCTGCAGTCAATTGACACTACAAAATTGTTATTACAATCAAATTCCTCTGACCAGGTGGTTGCTGTCAAATGACACTATTATATAATGTTCGCGTCCACAACCTCATCTGTTTCTCATAGTATTTTTGCTCTTTGAGTTGTGAGTCATAAGAGTACAATTGATTGACATAAAGTTTTATATTAGCTAATATCGACTTAAATTTATCCATTTAGACAATGATCCACCCCAGATCTACAAGGATTTTCTGAACAATGCAACCTATGGCTACTGATAAAAATCATTCTGTCAGGTTGGGAAGATTACATCCTCTAATTAAGTAGATCATGGACCATGATGACTCGAGATGACAGAACTATGGTATCTTGATCAAGTTTTGTCTTCATTCCCCCATTATCAAATTTAGACTTAAGTAGTGAATTTTACAACTTGAATAATAAGTTAGCTACTATTATATGTTGAATAATCAGTTCTTACTGACTAGCCCTAATCGAAGCGCTCTTATATTATCGGGAGGGGTAATTAACCATAAGGGCTTGCGCCTATAGAAAACCTCAAACCCCTATATCAAAAAGCCCTCACAAAATGAGAGTGAAATCTTTTGTATTGTCTTATCTATAATCCAATCTACATTCTAAAAATTTGACCCTCCAAAACTTTCTATCAAAATAAAAATCAAATAAATGCAGAGAATTCATGGGGAGCAGACATAATTTTTAAAGCTCACGAATTTCTAACTGCTCAGCTGAGGAAGGTTTCTCTTTCCATCTTTGGCGAGTCATATATTCGTTATAATAGCATCTTTAAAATTAATAAAAAATAAATAATGCAATCACTTGAAGTTTGATTAAACTTGGTGAGCATTAGCACATGTCCAGTGTATTTTAATTCAAAAATCTACGCTGAAAGGTTCTGATAGAATAAATTCTATCAGGTAAACGTTGGGGCATGACCCTTGTGTCCACTGCCAAAAGGTCACAACAGAAAGATAAATTGTCTAGTGAGCATCAGAGAATAATCTATGATTCTCAACATGAGAATCTGCCTTGATAATGTCCTAACGAAAGGACAAATATTGTATTAGTGAGCACAAGACATGAAATTAGATCTCTATCTAAAATTTTGTCTTTGAAAGGTCCTGATAGAAAGATAATCTCTATTTAGTGAACATCAGGGGTATAATCTGTGGATCTAAACCCAAGAATCTATCGTCAAAATGTCCTACCAAAAAAGTAATATCTATTCTGCAAGCATCATGGTATGATGAGTGGATCTCAATTTAAAAGTCAACTGTCAAAAAGTCATAATAGAGAAACCAACTCTACAAGATAAAAATTAAGGTGTGATAGTTAAGTTTAAGTATCTATTACCGATAAATCTCAGTAGACATGATGTTAAATCTTCCTAATCTTGAGGTAAGTTAGCTAGGAGAAAAAAATATAAAGAATATGAAGTGAATAACTCCGTAGTTGCAGTTGGAGCAACCTACCTCTTAGCCAGGATTCATACTATACTAAATTTAATTTTTGCATTTCACAATCACAATAAAAATATTATTATTTGAAGTTAAGGCACCATGGATACACTTTGTACTATATTAAATGTAATATCAATTTCTTACAAGAGTCTCTCTATCTCACTCTCTCTAAAAAGTATTGTAATTAGCAAAACATCCCTGGAACCATTTTCTTCGGCTTACCCGAGGTTCAAGTTCAAGATATGATTATTGTGATCTTCTCTCATGCATCACCTCCATCTTCTTCTTCTACATTTACTTAACGAAAACAATTTCCTTATCGAGTTTTATGTACTGATGAGCGAAGTGTGAACTTACGTCCTAAAAGGGTTTGACATATGTATATTGGGCATTTACATACATGCCACTCAATTCTTATATATTTATATATCTAACATTTAAATTAAATTTTTTATATTCATATTGTCCAAATCTTTTATATCACAATAAAAATATTTTTATTTTAATTTATGCCACCATGGATGGGCTTTGAAATGTACTAAATGAAATTTCTATTATTTTTTCATTTTTGCATAAAAGAGAAGTTGAGATGAGAGAAATGAGATCCTGTATTTTTTTGTAGGAGTCTCTCTCTATCTCTCCTTTTCTCTCCCTCCTTCACTATATTTGTATACGGAAAGCGTAAGCAGAATTGCATACATTTTTGGTTATTCAGAGGGTATAACTATGTTACACTTAAGTTACAAGAAGAATTACAAGAGGGTACAACTTAAGTGTAACATAACTATACCCTCACAATAACCTAAAATGTAAGCAACTCTGCGTACGTTTTCCGTACGCAAATATTTCTCCTCTCCTCTAAAAGACATTGTATTTCGACAAACCTCCCTGGAACCATTTTCTTCTGTTTATCCGAGGTTCAAATTCAAGATATGATTCTCGAGTTCTTCTCCCAGACATCACCTCCATCTCCATTTATATTTTTTCTGCATAAACAATTTTTTTATCAAATTTTCTGTACTCATGAGCGGTATAGACCCTATGTCCAAAAATGACATATATATGCCATTTAGATACATACCGCCCAAATCTTATATATTTATAACATTTACATTTTAATTTAATATTCATACCACCAAATCTTTTATATCACAGTTAAAATATTATTATTTTAATTCAACAAAAAAAATAACTTTTCCATGTAGGCAAAATCACGGTTTATGCTATATATATATATATATATTAAGAATCGAGTGGCATGTAAGGAAATGGGGCATGGGGGAATCCGACTCCCAAAAAGATTCCGCCGCGGCTCCATACTCCACGCATCAAGATTCGTGCTATTAACATAATTGTCGGTGATCCGGGATTTTAGGAAATGTGGTGGCCGACACGAGGCAAGATTCCAAGGGATCTTCGGCTGGGCGTAGGCGGCGGTAACGCCAGAAAAAGCCCTAAGGCGCAAAATTCAACGGTTACTTTGGAACCCTCGTTTCTGCTCTCGCCCTTCTACCCATCGCCCACGGTGCCCTTCGATAACAGAAGGAGAACAAATCGTGTTTCGTAATCGGGCCTCACAGCCGCCGCCGCCATGTGTGGAATTCTTGCCGTTCTGGGTTGCTCTGATACTTCCCTTGCAAAGAGGTCCCGAATCATCGAGCTTTCACGCAGGTCTTCTTCCTCTTTGTTTCCTCTTAAATGTATTCCAGGTTGCTGAAAGGGCGTGCATTTCCCTGGATCCTTGTTATTTCTATTTGTTGCAAACTGTTATTAAATTTCTGCTAGAATGCATCTGGAATCTAGAAATGGTTGTTGAAGGGTTTTCTGGTTGCTATGGATTATGTTGGGGTGGCTGAGGTCTACCATGCCGTGTAAGCAACATCGTTCAGATTATTTTGTGACATGCTTTAGAAGGGTGCTTCTGCTCGGATTTTTTTTTCTCGATATCTTCTTTGTGGGGTGTTTGGTAGAATTTTTTAGAGGGGATTTAGCCATTGATTTAGCTTAAATCCAGCCAAACATCAAAAATATCAAAATTAAATCCAACGCTCCGTCAGATTGAAAAGTTTAACTTTTTGATGTTTTTTCCCGCATTCCGTCTGTTTTAGGACTTGTAAATCGGGATTTAGTAAATCCTACTCTGAGACGGATTTAAGGCTCGTCGCTCGAGACTTTGTTGCCGTGGAAGTGAAGATCGGATTTGTAGGATTTAATAAATCATATTTAACATAATTTTAGTCTGCAGCCAAATACCGCCTTGATTAGAGTTTATTTTCAACGGAAATTTCTACCAATCCACGACTTTAGTCTGTTATGTGTATTCCATATTGATCGGTGACTTGAAACTTTATTTGATGAAATAAGGTTTCTGACATGATTTTCAAATCTTAAAGCAAATAAATAATTTAGATCAGAAACTTTAAGAATTGATACTGGGATGAGTAAAGCTCTATTCAATAAATTTATGATCCAAAGGTCACTTGGTTCTTAGATCATCAAGGCGCTGAAATGTTTAAAAAAAATGAAATGACTAAAGAGGGCTTTGTTTTCAAATAGTTGAATGGTTTACCAACTTTGGAAAAAAAGGTTTATAAATTCCCTCCAAAAACTTGTAAATAGCTTTTGTTCTTACACATTTAAGAGATGGATTTAGAGATTTTTGAGGTTTGGCTTGCTGATGATCGACTTCAATTGTTGATCGACTTCAATTGTTGATCGATATTGGTGCCCTTTGTCGCCAATGCCAAAATATTGTCCATCAATTAATGTGGACTCCTATCTTTCAAGTTGTCCCATTGCTTGACTTACAATATTGTTAGCCGGTTGTCGAATGATGCTTATCAGTGTCTGACATATAACTCCCTTCAGTCACTAATGTTTGATACCCTTCTTCTAATTGCCACATCCCCTCTCTTATGAGGAGAATGATAGAGTGGACCACCGATTATCTCCTTCTCTAACATTCTTGAAAGAATATCATTTAAAGCCCTCCAAAAAATGATGTATGATACCCATCAATCACTGATATGTGGTCTTCACCTTAGGGCCATCTATTATCCCATTCTATTTGAAAAACACTCAAGCTAGCCATCACTAGAGTTTCAACATTCCTTCATTGATCGTCATTTGATGCCCATCAAATTTCTATGTCCAATGTTTGTCTTTCAATCACCCAGTTTTGCTTCATAATGGTAGCGTGTTCTAGTTGACCACAGTTTGACTGTTGTCATTTTTTATTAACCATCACTTAATACTTATTAATGATTGATGTCTAACGACCATCAACCATCAATATTTGATATCTTTCTTCCAAGTCATTTGGATTCCTCTTCAATAGGGTGCCACCAAATTCATCATTTAACACTATTTGACTTTTAAAGTTTCTTGTTGATTAGTAGCCAACACCTATCAGTGATCAATACCTTATAGACTTTACTCAGCAACATGTGATGCTTATCTTTTTAGTTGCTTTATATCCTGTTATATCGGGAGGATAACCAAGCAAGTTGTAAAGTATTACCCAACTTTTGATGTTCACAATTGACCGTCATCTTACTCCTATCAAAGATTAATGTCTTGCACTTAAAAACTATCAGCCATTGATGGTCGATACCCACTTTTTTGTTCCCTGAATCTCTCTTTTTATTAGGCGAATGATTGAGATGACCATTGCTCAAATTTTGGTATTTCTTTATTGACAGGTGTTTGAGGCATATCAACAATTATATATGATGCCTATGTTCCAGATCACCAAGTTTCTCCTTATCTCAAGAGAACAATTGGGCCGACTACCAAATATTGTTAGAATTCCTATGTTTCTAGTTGCCCAATGCTATCAACAATTGATGTTTGAGGCATGCTAGTCTTAATTGTTCAAATTTTGCTTTTCTGGTCACCTAATTTACCATCTTATTCGGAGATTGACTAAATTGATTTCGCAACATTGCGTAAATGTTTTCATTCCTTATTGCTCATTGTTTGATGCTTACAAACGACCGATGATCAATATCTGTCAGTTGTTGATGTTTGGCATCCATTAGATTCTCTTGATTTTCCCTCATAAAAGGAGATTGAACAACTAAATTGATTGTCCAACTTTGTAAAACTTATAATTATTCTCATAAGCCATTGCTTAATGTCCCTTAATGACTTACATTTGTTAGCCACGAACACCCAACACCCATCTTCATGGCGCTATTATCCCATCTATTATGACAGTTACCAAGTTGACTGTTGCCAGATTTTGGATAGACCCTATCTCTCATAGCTTAATGCACATCAAGTTTGATGCCCGTTTTACCAGTCATTCAATTTTCTTGCTATCAAGTGAAAGATTAAGATAGCTGCCCATCATCTAACATAATTACTCAAGTATCTTATGATTTTTCTTACTATTATCATATAAGATATCTTTTGCGGTCCATGCTTATTATATAGTATTGATGACTTTTCATTTATAGGGATGGGCACTTTTTTTAATTCGTGATTTTTACTAGTGCAATCATTTCAATTAGATTAACCTGATAATTTTTTCCCTTCCTCAAAATTTTTTTATAAAAAAACTTAACTTAGATAATTTTATGATGTAAAATGATAAATTCCCCTTATGTTGTTGTGAATATTCCACCATTCAATAAATATTATACTATGTTATCATTAATGATATCATAATTCGAATTTATAGGATTTTTTTTTGATTAAAAAATCAACATATTTAGTAAACATGGAACTAAATTTGATACTAAATTCTGGCCACCAAAATCTTAACAAATTTGTTAGGTTTACCTGTAATAATAATTTCGATAAAATGAAAGTGGAAATGAATTAAGGTGTTTTTTCACAGCACTTTTGGTCGTGATTGGAGGTGATTTATAGAAGCTCTCAATGGATGGTTAAAAGCTCAGTTAGTGGCTTGAGGTATTCTTTTATAGCTAAGTAACAATGATCTTTAATGTAGAGGGTGACCGAAGCTATCGGCTATCGGACCATTTGAGGTGAACTATTGGATCAACATGGCTGGGTGGTAGTTCCAATTATAGGCTAATTATTGGATCAACATGGCTGGGCGGTAGTTCCGATTATAGATTTGTTAACGGCCATGTGTTTTGGTCTTGTAGTTAACGAATATCTTGGTTGGAGAGGTGACATCAGAGTGCCTTTCGGAGTTTGCAATGAGTTCTTGTAGTGGAGACCAGTGATGATCTTCTGCTGTTGAAACAAATGGTAACATTTGAAGAACTCTGATTGGGAAAAGAAAGTAATGTGTGGTGAAAAATGCAATATGAGGAGTACTTGTATAAAAAAAGTTATATGTTTTTCTTGGAGACGAAGCTGATAGACAGACATTTGGAGTTTTGCCCTTAATATGTATTAAGAATGGTGCTATCAATATGCCACATGAAAATAACAGAAAGAGTGATGAAAGCTTTGTTTGGTAATATATGAGATGCCATTAGTTGTGAAAAAGAGATTTGTAATGAGAAAATTCTGCTATCTCAGGATGATGGAAGGTGCTTTTACAACAAAATGAATTAATAATTTTAATCTAATCATAATTTGAGTTTGATCAATATTAACTTAGTTGAAATTCATAATTTGAGCATTCTATCATTACTTCCAAAGACCTGGGCCAAAACTATGACATCAATCAATAGTTCTTATGGGTCTACAAAGTTGAAACTCCATAGTTTCCATCATCTAACCCTAGTTGAGGACATTTGTAATTAGGAGTCATGTAAGAGCTCTTTTTGCTTTAAATCTTGAAAACAAATGATGCACCATAAATAGGGGGATCAGGGGTACGACCAAGCCAATTATGTGTACCTTCCAAAAGAGCTTTTATTCCATAGTTGTACATGCCAATGATGTGGCAAGTCCCAACATATGAAAAGACACCACTGTAAAAGAAAGATGGACAAGATTCAAAGAAGATAGAGTAGTCATATAATGTTTATGTAGAAAAGATCTATGATGCAGAAATCTTGAATTTGATATCTTGGGCTCATCTATGAATTTTCACTCTTTTTCATGTAAAGAGTTAATTTCTATTTATGTCACAACAAAATTGTAAGAAAGTTTCTCTTGTTGATGATGATCCCCACGATTATTAAAAGTATTAATGATATTTAAATAAAAATCTCACATGGGACTATATGAAAGTTTCATCAGGTGAGAAATTCTATAATTGAAGAATATGATTTCTATCATGCATAGGAGAATATATTAATAAAAGGAAAGGTACAGGTAGCCCAAATTGACACCCTAACCATCCGTCGTACAACACACACAAATAAGTACATGTATACCCAAAAAAAAGATTAAAAAGGCATAGAGAAAAGTACGCCAATAGTCTGTCAACACTCGCAGATTCAGTTAGCATGCAAAATATCCAATTTAGCATTGCCTCTGACTATCGTTCTAGGACGGGAGCCAGCTAACAAATTGTTAAGTTTGCTGTCATTACCCGAAACAACTAATGCATCGTCCATCAAGTTTGATAATAGGCCTTCATTCTTCTTCTTTCTAGATGTATAAATCTATCATTTCTCACTGAGGATTGACTCATCTAATCAGTGGATTGACTCAATGGTGTTCGAACAGATGTAGGCCGTTGCACATCATGAGCCCCATGTGCCTGAGTAACAGTAACAACTTGCTCGTCCTGAAATGGT